GGCCTGGGCTGGATTCGAACCCGCCACCTTAGGTGTATGTGGCTGGCACCTTAGCCACTTGAGCCACAGGCGCCGAGCCAGAACAGGATGTCTTGATTGGCTTATGCCAGTCATTCCTCTTCTCTGGGTTTAGGCACACTCTTGAACAATGGTTCTCAACCTTCCTAACGCCACAACCCTTTAATGTACTTCCTCATGTTGTGGTGGCCCCCACCCATAGGATTATTTTCATTGCTACTTCATAACTGTAATTTTGCTACTGTTATGAATCGTAATGTAAATATCTGATATACAGAATGGACTTAGGTGATCCCTGTGAAAGGGTTATTCGACCCCCAAAGGCGTCACGACCCACAGGTTGAGAACCGCTGCTCTAGAGCCTAACAGGTTTGAGATTCTTTTAGAGAAGATGGGGAAATTTCATATTTATTGGATAGGCAACTAAGAGGGGTCTGGCACACAGTACCTACAACAAGAAGTATTAGGAAGTGGAGAGCTGAGTGAATGTTTATCCCAGTCTCCCATTCATAATGCTGTGTTAAATGCTCTAATGGAAAAATGTTCAGTTGTTCATTCTGGTTCCTTTCAAGCCCTGATTATTGTGAATGCATTTCTTCTAAGCCAACTATATTCCTTCCTTTGCCCATTTCTTTTGTCTTAGTTTCTCAATCCAGGGAATAAATACTGTGAAGGAGGTGTTTTTTTCCTCCTTTAAAATGTCCTACCAACTTGTCGGTCTGAATTTCTTTTTTTATTCCTCCCTTGGTCTTTCCACCAACCGACTAACTCTTACTGCCCTCTGTCTGAATCCTCCTTGTACCCATCCTGCCTTACAGATGCATGTTATTTATGTACACCAGCTAGTTGAAAGACTCAAAATTTACTTCCAGTTCTCTACTAACTTTACCTTTCTCTCTTTCTCCTCCTCTTTTTCCTCTCCTCTTGTTTTCTCTCCTCTCCATTGCTGCTGCAGAGCGTCTCTACAGCCAACTTGAGCGAAACCGCCTGCTTTCTAATGAGCTGAAGCTAACGCTGCATGATCTGTGTGACTGATGGGCAGGGCTCTCTGAGGCCTATTACACTGAGCTTACTGCTCACATCTCTGACCTGGACCCCAACACAAAGCTGATTATCTTTTTTAAAGTTACTATTTTCCCCTAAGCAAATTGTTTTCTAATTGAGGCAGTTAGAATGTTGATTTCCTCGGGCAGTGCCTGTGGCTCAAAGGAGTAGGGCACCAGCCCATATGCCAGAGGTGGCAGGTTCAAACCCAGCCCCAGCCCAAAAAAAAAAAAAAAAAGAATGTTGATTTCCTAACAGCAGATTACAATTTTCCAACTAAAATTGCAATAGTTAATATTACATTTCTATCCCATTAGAAGAGATTATGAGTGATGAAGGGAGGGACCTGAAATAATAGTAAGAAAACTTGGGAGAATTTTCTCTTTTGCACCCTTATTTGCTGCTCTTTCACTTGTACACTCATTGTAGGATTTGTCCCCTAGCATGGACATCTTTTAACAATAAAAGGATGGACTTGACAAGATGTTGTAACTGCTTCGTCTGCAGCCCCAGGGATGGGCCCTTCTGAGTGGCACAAAGGGAAGAGAAAGAAAAGAAGAGTGTGGGATATAAATATGAGTCTGTGCTACCATCACCTTCTCTGAGTTGAAGATTTGAGTATTTTCCTCACCTCCCTAGAGCAGTCAGAGTGGTTTGCCTGTTAGGCAGGTTAGATTGTCCTTGGTGTTTGGCCTCTGGTTTTCCTCCTCATATTTTCCCTTTTGCTTCCTTTTCCTGGTTTTGTGTTTAATTGCAAGTAGCTCTGTCACAGGCTAGTTCTGGACAGTAGATCTGCAAAAAATTGCAGTTAAGGCTTTGCTTATATGTTTTAGTCATGTTCTTTATTTCCTTTAGAGGTTCTTTGACTTTACTGTGAGGGCTCTTTTATTTATGCCACCAATTATCCCTTTTCCCTCTGCCTTTAGGAGAAAGCACGTAGTGTATCAGGCTCTTCTTGTGCTCTTTTCAAGTTGAAATTCTGTTTTTTTCTGTTCTGCCTGTCCTTGTTTACAAAGGTTACACTCCAGTGAGTCATTTTAAGAAGGTGTTGTCCCGGCTCGGCGCCTGTGGCTCAAGTGGCTAAGGCACCAGCCACATACACCTAAGGTGGTGGGTTCGAATCCC